TGGACGATGTTGGATCAACTGTAGTGGACGATGTTGGATCAACTGTAGTGGTCGATGTTGGATCAACTGTAGTGGACGATGTTGGATCAACTGTAGTGGACGATGTTGGATCAACTGTAGTGGACGATGTTGGATCAACTGTAGTGGTCGATGTTGGATCAACTGTAGTGGACGATGTTGGGCCAACTGTAGAGAACGATGTTGGATCAACTGTAATGGACGATGTTGGATCATCTGTAGTGGACGATGTTGGATCAACTGTAGTGGACGATGTTGGATCAACTGTAGTGGACGATGTTGGGCCAACTGTAGTGGACAATGTTGGACCAACTGTAGTGGTCGTGGTTGGACCAACTGTAGTGGACGATGTTGGACCAACTGTAGTGGACAGTGTTGTACTAACTAAAACAAATAATACCAGAGATAGGTGGTAATGTCACTTGACGCTCAACTCCGTGTAGTTACTTTAGTGTGTTTAAAAAAGAAAACTTATTGTCTTTTAAGCTCATGAATGTTATAAAACATTTATTATTATCAGCTTTCTACACCATATATACAATTAAAATATGACTTTTAGTCTTATTTTAGTTGTATATATGGTGTAGAAAGCTGATAATAATAAATGTTTTATAACATCCATGAGTTTAAGTGAAGCTTTCCTGGCTGCAATGACAGATATATCTAAAAAATGTCTTTTAAGCGCCTTTGATAAAATAAGGATGAGCATGGATAGCAAAGTGGAAAGTTGAAGTATTTCAGCAAATTTTACATATTTTTGACGTAGCCATCGTCCGTCGGCAGTTTGAATGGAATGTTACGCCACTGCTGCAAGGATGTTAATTTAACAGAAAAGAAAATGGACTTTGGCTGCGTGTTTCGATAGAGTCCATAGAGGAATAGACCGCTTGCTGTGTCCTCAAAAAGTGCCTAGAAAATTTTCATGAAGCATGTCTTGGAACTGAAATGTTTTTTATGGGAACTAACACTTTTGAACACGCTGAGTTCAAATCCGAAAACTTCCTGGCACCGTAAACCCGCAGTTTTCTCACACACTGCGATTTTATCTTCTCTAATTTCACGACAAATTTTTTCATTGTTCAACGACACGGGTGGATGAAGACACACGATTGCATAACTCAAAATGACTAATTCCTATGAACCAGTCTCTACATTGAACAAACAAACGACCGTTTTGCTTGGATTATTTTGAGTTATGTAATTTTAAGCGCGTTGGATGTAAACAACATATCTTGTCTACAACTTTGGGAAGACATGCTTAATGAAAGTGAACAATAATGGGACGCAGCAAACGGCCTATGCAGAGAAGGTTTTCGAACAAATTCTTTTGCTGTCATGAAGTAACTGAAAGATCTTGTATGCAGAGCATCAGGTATTTCAGGCATATATTAGATTTAGTTTTAGGAGGTCTTGATTATACTTTGAACAGCATGCATGCATGATCTTGTTCTTTTATACTTTGGCCTTGTCAAAAAAGAGGTCAAAATGTAAAAACAAAACAACAAAAAAAGCCGCTGTTCATAGTCGCTTAAATTTTCGAATTAGTACGGTTGATACTTTTGAAGTTATGGAGCTGATAGACAAACTCGCACCTGGGGAAATAGAAATGTGGCGGAAAACGTAAACTTCTGGCCAAAGTAATAAGCGTTTAGGAATTTCACTCTCACATGCGTTAGGTCATGGTCACATCAATCACGAGTGTCTTTCCGAGAATTTCTTGGTTAAGTAACTGTGTTTGAAACTGCATAATACCTGTATCAAGACATTTCTTTCACAAGTTTTTCCCCGAGGACGTGCAGAGCGTGTACCATGGGCACTAATTCCGTTCCGCTATTTACATCCGGGAACAAGGAGGGCTAGTTGATGCAACGGAATTGCATCTTTTGGATACTCATCCTACGGCCTAAAAGGAGAAATTGCTTCTAATCCATTTCAGGGGTATCATTTTTCATACCCATTTAATATTATCCTTGCAGCTCTATTCTGAAGTTTTTGAAGTCGAGTTGAGAGACCAATGCCCATGGTATCCCACACCTCACTGCAATAATCAAAATGAGGACGAACTAATACATTGCAGATGAGATCAAAATTTCTCTATCCACAAAATATCGGATTCTTCTTATAGCTACTATGCCGGAAGTAGCCTTTTTGGCTACGTTTTCAACATTCTTGTTCCAAGACAATTGTTCATCAATTTGAACCCCAATATGGTGAACTTGTTTAATTTTGTCTTGATCTATTTTATATTCGGCTGTTTGGTAAGTTTCCTTAATCTATGACTGTACCAATAAGTATAAATAAAATTAAAAATGTTAAGGAAGTGAATTGGGTTATATATCACGCATAAATAACACAACGGGCTATTACCGAAGCCGTTTACTATACCCAGCAAAGGAAGACGAACTTAACTTTTGCTTTGTCCAATGTTCATAAAAACTTAACCCAAGTATAATCAATCTGTAAATTGGGCAATGTCCTTTACTCCCTTAAATTGTCTTATCAATACATTCAATACTTTTTAAGTCACTGAGCTAACAGACAAACAGAGAGAGAGAAAGAGAACTTTCACTCTCAGATGCATTACGTCATGGCTCATATCAAACAGAAATATTTTTCAGAGAATTTGTTGGTTAATATTAAGTAAATGCGTTTGTAAACAACATATTTCTTTGAGTAGTTTTAACATTTAATCTATCGGGTTATGTCTGCAATATTTCTAATTTGCGGAGGCGGTATTATTGCTTGCATAATTCGACTACATGGAATGAAACTTTTCTGCTGTCTGAAAAATTTGGTAAAAGATGCTGTTGTTGTAAAGAAAATTCTATTTTGCAAAATGGAACGTGTAAAAGATAAAAAATTAAAATTAAAATATCAGTAGTACATGTACCTGGTGTGGTCGGGGTAACTGTAGTATTCATTGCTATTGTAGATGGTGTTCTACCAACTGCAGTGCTTGTTGGTATAATCACTGTAGAATTATAAGTCGTTGTTGTGGTAGGTATTATTCCAAGTGTAGTATTCATCACTGTTGTGGTTGATGTTATATCATATGTGACATTATTCACTGTTGTGGTGGGTGTTATACTAACTGTGGTATAAACCATTCTTGTGGTCGTTGGGATACAAACTGTAGTGCTAATCACTCTTGTGATCGTCTGCATACAAACTGTTCTTGTACTTGTTGGTATACTCATTGTAGCATTACTCATTGTTGTGGGTGGTGTTATTCCAACTGTCGTATTAATCAATGGTGTGGACGTTGTTATACCATCTGTAGTATCTATCAAAGAGAATGATATATGTCAGGTGAACTTAAACTGAAACAAATACAGGGATGGATGTGCTTCTGACGTACTTAGCATGGCTGAAACGTTGACTGTCGATTCATTGAAGGTTCTATGAAAAAAAACATTTTACCAAGTGTTCGTAAGAAATTCAGGAGTGAGATTGATAATCTTAAGAACGAAATGATAAAGATATCGGATAATTGCAATAAAATAGAAAAATCTCAAGCGTTCTTGGGCAAACAGCATGACGACTTCGTCAAGTCTCTACAAGCTACAGTACTAGGAAGCAGCTTTCAGATCCGTCGACCACTGTGAAAAAGCTAGAAGAACAAATTGCAGATGCAGAGGATAATATATATCGTAAAGAAACTCAACTAGATAACATAAAGCAATCTCTAAGACGAGACTGCGTCGAGATTAATGACGTTCCGGTCACACCTGTGACCAAAGCAATTGGTTGTTGAGCTCGGTGACTTAATTGGTGTTAAAATCACAGACCACCACATATCTACGGCCCATCGCACATTTAAATCCAGGATACATTTAAATCAATGGAAATATATTCATTTTCTTGTGAGTAAATACATACGGGTTGTATATGAACTAAGCATTTTGATGAATTTTATACTGTCAAGAAATGGTGTCGACACTTCGTAAGAAGGCTATTGACAGTAATGTGTCATGTTGTTTCAATTATATCACAACGTAAATATTAGAGGAAAGTGCTGGAGGCTAATAAAAGGTTGGTACTCAGACACGGAGGAATACGTTGTTTATAATGGTAAACGTTCGACACAGTATAATATCTTACAGGGGGTTCGACAATGTGGGGTATTATCGCCATGGCTATTTCTTCTCTTCATTGATGACATAATAAGCGAGCTGGAAAAGCTATCTACTGGTATAGTTATTCAAAATTTGTTTGTTGGATCGCCAATGTTTGCTGACGATCTTACGTTAATGTCAAGATTAAAACCAGGTCTTGATAACATGCTTGTACAAGTTCATAACTATAGCCTAAAATGGAGACTTACTTTTAATGAGAAAAAAACTGTTGTGCTGACCTTTGGCGACAAACGAGATAACATTCGGCAATTACGAACAGAAGGTGGCTTATAAGAGGAAATAATTCATGGAGAAAAGTATCTGGCATAATCTTGGAAAAGATTTGCACACCGACGTTTCCAGCCTTATTCCAATACTAGAGGCTGCGAAGAAAGGTCAGACTATCGGTATTGGTTTAGCAAATCTGGGATGTAGATTTAACGGGATGAGTCCACGAATCTAGCTGTCGGAACCATATCGCCCGATTCTGTTATTTTCCGGTTTTAAATTGCCAAAGAAATTGTTTTGAGCATCTAAAAGGTTCTTTCGTCTTTCGGAAATAGGTTAACACCATATATTGTTGCTTTTTTGCTTTCAGGGGAATAGTAATTTTTCTTCAATGATTTGTTTACAAGTGGAATTTCGGCAGCCATTTTGTTTTGAAAGCAATAGTTACTGCTCATTCAAAGCAGTAACTTTTGCCTCAGAGTTACTGCTCAGGGAGTCAATCAGAACGCTTGGAAGCTATTTTTCAATAATGAATTTATACTAATGTCATATAACTATTAGGTTAACACAGAACGATGTCATACATATTCATTGACGATGTTTGTCAATGAATATGTAAAGTATACATGTTATATACAAGCGGTATAATTAGCTAATGTTTATTATGCTTTGCCAATTTCACACAATCATATCTGCACAAATACAAACCCAAGAATATACAAACTATAAATCAATGGCAGGGTATATGCTACAGCTTTACGCCAATAAATCAGGTAATATGTAAGATGCATGTGGGATGACCTGCTGCCAGTATACCAGATAGTTAAGCCCAAGTCGACTCTTCCACCTTAGGCACAGGTGTTTACCTGCTTCCGTCTCAAAAGCTTTCGCATTTGTATAAAATATAAATACTGTTGAGTGTTGGTGAAATTGTCACAAACATATTGTTGGCATAAAAATTATATAATTTACGCAAATCAAATTGTATGCTTTTACTGCAATGGCCGACACTACAAATTTTTTGTGGGAAGGCTGAATATAGGTTGCCACAATATGACCATCTTTTGCTTCTAGAAATTTCAGTTCTTTAATAAACTTTAGCCTCACATTTCTGGCAATTTATAGCTTAATTTATTGCCGACCAATGGTTGAAAAATATTTTTACTGCTTTTTATTATTTAAAGTATAGTGCTTTATAGAGATTTCGAGCACTGATAAAACTGATAATCTCACATGTGAGATTATTTATGATAAATTCACATGTGAAAATTATCGCTTTTCAATAATCGCTTTTCTGTGAAAATTATCGCTTTTCAAAGACTGTCCTTTAAATAATAAACAGAAAAATACATGGATGCTTGGAAATATCAGATTTATTTCTCGTATTGAACATGATATCTCACTCGTTCGCTGCGCTCACTCTTGAGATATCATGTTCAACACTGGAAATACATCTGGTATTTCCGCGCACCCATGTATTATTCTCTATATTTTTCAGCTATCATTCAAAGGCTTTCAGAATTTGTTGGGGGGGGGGGAGACAGAGAGTTGTTTGAGCTCTCGCCTCCCTGGTGTCAATACCACTGCTTTCCTGTATATCCTCCGCACAAGAAGCTTACTTATTTCATGCAGGCATGACATGCTTTTTTAGCCAATTACAGGAGTTTAAAAACTATATAGCATATTCGGCAGTTTGAATGGAAAGTTACGCCACTGCTAGCCACTGTAAGGATTGTAATTTTTAAATTACGTTAAATTAAATTAAAACTTAAAAGTAAATTAAGTTAAAACTTTAATCCGTGTGCGTACATTGTAATTTAACTTAGCTATTGAATGTATCAAGAAACAACAATTATTGTTTATTTAAGTTTCTTCATGATTTGGCCAATCTCGTACGCAGAGTATGCCTGTTCACAGGTTGGGTCCTGAGTACGACTCTCGAGAAACGGATTACCGGATATCCAAACAGAGAGAGTGGATTGACAACTCCATCAGTAATAGCGGCTGTATGGCTAAAATTCGTGAGTTGACCTCCCACTGCTCAACAAAATATTGGGAATGTCAGGAGTGGACTCAGTTGGGATTGAAAATCATCAATGAGAAACGCTGACAGGCAAGCTAAAAACACTGGGTACCGTGCTGATTAGGACACTCAAGGGCAAATCTATTTTTTCCAGCATTGAAAATTTCTCAACCACTATCACCCAATTTTCGACCGTAATTTAAATTTAAAAATATCTTGGACTCTCAGTTATGAAATGAAACTCCATTCCGCAAAGTTCTTTCCGGAATATAAATGGGAAAGAAAAAAACAACATTTAGAACATTTTTGAAAATAATACTTACTTGGCATTTCGCAGAGCTGGCCAGTATATCCAACTGGGCATAGGCAAGAGAATGTTGTTCCATTCTCTGAACAATTTCCACCATTCATGCATGGATCACTGGCACATGCAGGAACTAAATTACATTAAAATTAAAAATGTTAAGGTTCATGCAAGCTAGAAGGGACTTGAATAATTCGATTCATAGCCTCTGCCAACGAATTAGGTTATAAATCACCCATAAATGGAAGCCGGTTACAACACCCAGCAAAGGAAGACGAACTTAAATTTTCAGCTAATTAGGTCAATTATAGTACCAAGATGGCGGACTGCACATTATTTTTGGTCAAAATCTTTCGAAAACCAAGCAAGGTACGAAAAAGTTGTAAAGGGTCTTCATATATAACTTTAAAAGTTCTTTCAAATACAACAAAGGTAATTTTTATTGCCATATCCCTTTAAATTATCGTATCGGTACGTTCGATACTTTTCAACTAATCGAGGTGACAGACAAACACACAGAGAGAAAAATTTCATTCTCAGATGCATTACGTCATCGTCATATCAATCAGAAATATTTTTCAGAGAATTCCTTGGTTAAGTAAATGTGTTTGCAAACAACATACTCCTTTGAGCACTGTTAACACTTGATCTATTGCGCTATGTCTGCAATATTTCTAACTTATGGAGACGGTATTTTTGACTGCATAATTCAGCTACTTGGAATGAAACTTTTTTGGTGCCGGCAAATTTGGCCAATCATACAGTTTCTGGGAAAAATATTCTATTTTGCAAAATACAAATATAGTTTGGAACGCGTTAATTAAAGATTACATATAAAAAATTAAAATAAAAAATATACCAATAGTACCTGTACCTGGTGTGGACGCTGTTGGACCATCTGTAGTATATATAACGGACGGTGTTGTACTAACTGTAGGATTTGTAGTGGGCAGTGTTGTACCAACTGCAGGATCTGTAGTGGGCAGTGTTGTAGTAACTGCAGGATCTGTAGTGGGCAGTGTTGTACCAACTGCAGGATCTGTAGTAGGCAGTGTTGTAGTAACTGCAGGATCTGTAGTGGGCAGTGTTGTAGTAACTGCAGGATCTGTAGTAGGCAGTGTTGTAGTAACTGCAGGATCTGTAGTGGGCAGTGTTGTAGTAACTGCAGGATCTGTAGTGGGCAGTGTTGTAGTAACTGCAGGATCTGTAGTAGGCAGTGTTGTAGTAACTGCAGGATCTGTAGTAGGCAGTGTTGTAGTAACTGCAGGATCTGTAGTAGGCAGTGTTGTAGTAACTGCAGGATCTGTAGTGGGCAGTGTTGTAGTAACTGCAGGATCTGTAGTGGGCAGTGTTGTAGTAACTATAGGATCTGTAGTGGGCTGTGTTGTACCAACTGAAACAAATATAACCAGAGATATGTGGCAAAGTCACCTGACGCTCGTAGTTACTTTAGTGGGTTTAAAAAGGAAACTTATTGTCTTTGAAGCGCCTTAGATAAAACAAGGATGAGCAAGGATGACAAAATGGAAAGTTGAAGTATTTTGGCGTACAATGGGCTAATTACGGAAGCTGTTTGTTATACCCAGCAAAGGAAGACTAACTTAACTTATGCAAATGTCTGATCCAATGTCGAGCCAAATTTTAACCAAAAGTTAATCAATCCGTAAATTGGCCTTTAAGGCCGTTTTCCACTTCAAGCGTAATGTACCTACACGTATCAAAACAAATTTCAAATTTCAAAATTGAGTAATACTTCCGTGGTATGCTAAAAAGTTGATTGGGACGAACTTTTTATTTTGATACGCGAATCAACCGGAAGTACGTAAATTTGAAAATCCATGTTCAAGCTGCGCATGCTCAACGGTATGTGTTACGTTACGATACGGGCGAAGTAGAAAACAGCCTTTACTCCCTTAAAGTTTCGTATCGATACGTTGGATACTTTTTAACTTAGCGAGCCGTGACAGACAAACACACACACACAGAAATTTCATTCTCAGCATGCATTACGTCATGGTCATATCAATCAGAAATATCTTTCAGACAATTCCTTGGTTAAGTAAATGTGTTTGCAATCAACATATTTCTGTGAGTAGTTTTATTTCCGTGTCCAAATAAATTAATACATTTTGAAACGTTATGTAATCCTTATTGCAAACACTTTTTGAATCAGCATTGTTTCCGTGCTCCATACCGAGCTGGTGTACCAATTTAATTTGGAAAGGACCGAACGAAAGAGGTAAATGAGACTCTGAAAATACCTTTTCCGACGATCTAGACACTTCAATTTTGCAAAAAATGTTCGACCTTCGCACCTTTTATATACAACCACTTCTCAAGTATCACAGGAGATATATAAAGGTAATCGGGGACAGAAATATTGATAGCAAATGGTTGGCACACTAAAGAAATGCCATTTCGGAGATTCGAAGGTCAATATGATTTCCCCTATATGTATGACATAGTGTGGGATTTTAGTTCTGTTGTCCAACCCTTCAATCACAGCTGTATGTGTATTTTTTATATGATATGATTGTAAAGTTAATTTTAAAAAATGGAGGATCACTGTTGTATTTTTCCTATTTCACAATTTAGAATGCTCTAGATTATAATACATACTAATAGATAGTTTTTGTAATACTAAAATATCAAGAATGCTTGATGTGCCACTGTAGACATGTGGCTAGCTAACCTAGTCTGTTTATTAAATACCTTGGCGCCTTGATATTTAAAAAGAGTAAGAAAGTCATTGTATCATTTTTATTTAACTTTGTGCATGTATTGTTAATTTGGTTTTTCTTACAAACATTTCATGGTTATATACAGGACTGCATCTTTGGCGTACATCAAAATACTGCAGCGGTCCAGACATTCTGGTAGGTCATTAATAAATGGGACGAATAAAAGCGGACCAAGTACTGATCCCTGCGGAACACCCGTGGAGAGTTTACAGGGCATATAGAAGGTATTCTGATACTGAACAACTTGGCTAAGATTTCCAAGGTAATCACTGAACCACGACAGTTCCAAGTTACGTATACCATAATGAGACAACTTTTCGCCTAACAAACCATGGTCAACAGTCTCAAAAGCTTTCTTCAAATCAATGAATACCGCTCCGGTCATAATTCCCTGGTCCATCGATCGACGAATTAAATCAGTAAAGGAAATAGTGGCAAATTCAGTTGAAAAGCCCTTTCTGAATCCACATTGAAAAGGGCTAAGTACTTTCGTTTCCTCTAAAAATCTGTACAGCTGAGAATGGATGGCTCTTTCGAGGATTTTTGAGGAGATACAAAGAACAGAAATTGGACGGTAATTATCTATATTAGTAGATTTACCGCCTTTAAATAGAGGAGTCACTCTAGTGGACTTTTCAGTCGGTGGGAACCTTTCCATAACTGATTGGAAAATTCATGATAATTACAGCAAGGGGTTTAGCAATTATACTGGCCGAGTCCTTCATTGATAAGCGAGGTGGAATTTAATCAATGTCGGGCGCCTTATTCGTCTTTAAACTCTTTAGTTGAGTTAGGACGAAGCTATCAGAAATTTCAGAAAACTTGAACATATGCGATGTTTTTTTCGTGGTAATAGATCTGGCAAGAGTGCGAGATGACAGAGAGCTTCATGCAACGATAGATTAAATGAGTCTACCGACTGTACTGGTGAAAAACGTGTTGAAGTTCACCGCCATTTCTTTTTTATCCGTACAGATTTTGCCATCAATATTAGAACTCGGCGATACTATAATCTTATTTATTGTTTTCTAAAATTCCTTTGGGTCATGCATACTTTCCTCAATTAGTCTCCTGTTATAATTGCTTTTTGCTTGCTTGACTAATTTCGTTACATAGTTACGCAATTTTCTATACGCCGGCCAGTCTTCAACTTTGTTCGTTTTTCTAGACGTACGTAGTTGGTTATCGCGATCCCGAATACTATGCTTTATTTCGCTAGAGATCCAAGGACATGGCTTACCCCTTACTCGCTTTTCCATAATAGGGGCAAGAGCATTTGCTGTTGATAAAAATGCTGTTTTAAAATTTGTCCAAAGACCTTCATCAACTGTAATATCTGTATCCGTAGTGGAATTTAAAATACCTTCCCATTCAAACTTAGGGGCCGACCATTTAACTTTTGAGGGGGGGGGAGGGGGTGATTTTGAAAAAAAATTTCCTGCAAGGCTATTCTGAACAAAAAAAATACCTGCACTAACAAACTGAGGGAAAAAATATCCTGGCCCATTATTTGGTGGGAAAAAATGTTGCAAAACAGCATGGTTGCAGGGATCGATTTGACCAGTCCCAGAAGATCAGCTGGTTTGATTTTCAGGGACTAGTGCAAGGTTAATTTCTTGTTGGAAAACTCCTCAAAGTGCTGGAAATAGCTTATCTAAGCTTCAAGAAATCCAAACTTTTCTGGGGGGCATGCCCCCAGACCCCCCTAGAGGCTCCCACCTTTGGTGGTCGACTCGGTTGTCCCAGAATCCTAGTTATGGCCTGATCTGCTGCCCTATGGTGCATACTTATTAGTTATACCATGCATATATATGCTGCAGGTAGCTGCAGCGACACAGACTTGCCGACTGGAACTTCTCCAGGTGCCCCGCTAAATATGTCCCCTCCAGTTACACATCCTTACAGGGCCGTAGCAACTGCGAGGCTGGGGGGCTGCAGCCCCCCCTCCCAATAATTTGCTAATAATCGTTCTTTTTTCAAAATCATGCAGACCTTTATCATTTAATCCATGACAAACTGCAAAGAATGAAGATATTACCCATACTTTCCTGCAACTTATCCAATATATAGTTAATTAAATACGCCTTCGCCCATTTAGTACTACTAAGGCCTGTTTCATACGTCGAATTTAATTGAGACGAATTTAATTCGTTATTAAATTCGTCAATTGGTCGACACTAAAATGGTTTCGTTTCAAACGACGAATTTAATTCAGACGAATTCATTTCATGTCTAGCGATCATGGATTACCCAGAAGTAAAAAACCACGAGACCAGAAAGAGAGAAACAGACTTTAACATAATTTATGCATTTAATTCGACACGACGATAACACGTCGTATGAAACGAAGACGCGCTACAGACGTTGTATCCGTCTGACCATGACAGATACAACGTCTTGGACGAATTTAATTCATCAGACGGATTTAATTCGTTTCATACGACGCACTAACGTCGCATTTAATTGGTTCAATTAAATTCGTCTGAATTAAATTCGACGATAGTGCGACGTATGAAACGGGCCTAAATTGTAAATTTCAACATACTAAAACGCTGTTTTCTGACCATCAGAATTCTGTCAAATCTTCCCCAAAGTCCAGGAAATGGCATTTCAGAGACTCTAAATTTAAAAATTTCCTCGGGCCTTCGGCCCTCGCTTTCCGCCTCCCCCCCAATTGAAAAGAGCTTCCTACGGCTCTGCCATAAAAGAGGTCAAGCAATGCATGAAGCTAGAAAACTCAACGTTAACTATAATTAAAGAATCTAAATAGTATAAGCTATTGAAAAAAAAAATGCTGCCAAAGAGAGAGTGGCAAAAAAAAAATCGTACATGGTGTTGGGACAGAAAAGAAAAACTTGCACATAACGATCCCAGAAAAAACCCTGCCAGCAGTAAATCACCCTCCCCCCTCAAAAGTTAAATTGTCGGCCCCTTATATTCAAATCATCGCAGAAACATGCAGGTTGTAATTAGAATAATTTCGAAATGTTCTTGACATATCCAGCATTTTTTTCCAGTTCAATTTTCGCACACAAGCACCATCTCATGATCGCCAAGACTCACACTGGTGACTCCAATGAAACTAATATTCACGCCATTAGTCGCAATCAGATCTAGTAATGTAGCTGAAGTTTGTGTAACTCGTGTTGGATCCTTGATAAGTTGATTAAAATTCATAAACTTCAGAACCGACTCTAGTTGTCAATCAGAGTTGGTATATAGATCTTGCCGGGAAAACTAAGTCACAGTTAAAATCTCTCAAAATAATTACTTCTTTATCAGCTGCATTTACAATATCGATTTTTCGATATAAAATCCCAGTCAAGATGCTGCGATGTAGGAGGAGGCCTGCAGTGTGTATCAAAAAAAGTATAGCCTTTCAAATTCAAATGAACGATAGTTATAAGTGATTTGATTGTTCTCAACTGCTTTGAGTTAATGATACGCGACGAAAACAAGTCTTAGGCCTAGTTTATGGCAGGAGACAGACATAAACCTCAGTAATAAAATTAACAATGTTTTTATAAATGTGATACAGAACTATGTTCCATTATCTGAAGATACAGCTGTAATTGTACACAACGATGAAACGCCTATTATTGTGACCGAGTCAACTATAGCTAGAAAATTGCAAGAAATTAATACATCGCGTTCCAGTGGCCCTGACGGTATTTCCAATTGGGTTTTAAAAACCTATTCGGATATTCTCGCCTCACCAGTTGCAAATATAATCAATTCTTCCTTTCAAAGCTGTAAAGTCCCTCAAATTTGGAAGCTGGCCGATGTGGTCCCCTTACCAAAAACATCTACCGTCAAAGACTTGGAAAGGGAATTACGACCTATTTCCTTAACTTCCACTCTATCAAAGATAGCGGAACGTCTTGTAATCGAAAGAGAAGTAAAACCAACTCTGTTAAAGGTTGTTGATCCCCAACAATTTGGCTTTATTCCAAATTCTTCCACTGTACTTGCCTTGATATCGATGCTCCATTGTTGGTTGAGTGCAACAGATGGAAGCGGTTCATCTGTTCGCACTGTATTTCTTGACTATAAAAAAGCATTTGACATGGTGGATCACACCACATTAGTTGCGAAATTATTCAGCCTTGGTATTAAGCCCTGTGTGGTTAACTGGATTATTGACTTTTTACGTAATAGATGGCAAAGGGTCAAACTAAGTGATAATTGTTTCTCAGACTGGCTCCAAGTTCCAGCTGGTGTCCCTCAAGGCACACGACTTGGAG